AGACATACACATAACATGGGGATTTTGTGTGGCCACTTTCTTTTGTTGTTTTTTTTTTTAGAAATAAGGTAAGTAGGCTAATGAGTAGCGAGACAGAAAATAATGGTGTCCTACACTGAGGGACAGATACCACGGTAATTAATACATATTGTCGCGTATCGGGCGTATAGAGCGACAAATAACTTCACGCCGTATTTGATGTAGCGAATTTTATTTCACATTCGCACTTACAGTCACCCAAATCACAGATTTACGATTACTGCTATCTGCAGTATTACAATTAGTACACTCCAAATCCCACGTTACAACTGACTAGTTGCTGGTTAACGCGGAACTAACTCGGAGGTAGCTCGAGGACTCACTCGGAGGTAGCTCCAGGACTGACTGACTGTGAATAGCCTTCGCTGCTCCTTATGTAGCCTTGATCGGACAATTGTCGTCTGGTGCCGTGTTGCTAGCCACGCTGTCCGGAGTTGTTGACTGCTGCCTAGCAACCGCGATATCCCTCGGTGACGTGACCGCTGTTGACTCACTTTGCATAGCTTCAAGGTTTCGGGGACTCGGCTAACGTCGGCTCCCCTCGGCTCACTTCGGCTCCGCTCGCGACGTCACCGCGCGTTGCGCGTTGCGCGTTGCATAGCTACCAGGATGCGGGGTGATTACTCGCCTATTACGCGAGCGCTGCTTTACCGCTACGTGCAGCTGAGGAGGTAGGGGTCAACATGTCACACTGCTCCCTCTTTAAGGCTGTTCGTCCCGAATAGCCTAACGGCGCATCCCCGTTCCTTTTCCTCGGTGGCTGTTCTTGCAGTGTCTCCTGTTGTTTCGGCTACTCTTCTTGCAGCAAGTATTCTTCGTCCGTTACATCCGCTCCCCTCTTAAGACAAAGCTCGTCTCGAGCGGTTTCCTTTCAGCTCGCCAGAAGATCACATTCATCCATCGCTTTCTCCCATGACACATTCACTCTCACTGGGGAGGCAGGTTCTTCTATTTTACCGGCTCCTCATCTGTGCCCTGCGTCTTTTTCGTTTTGGAGGGGGTCGATCCCTCCACAGTGTCCAATCCTTGCCGTGTCGTAGGCAGACAGAAAATCCGGCTACTCGCATGGCGATCCGCAGTGTTGCAGTTTTTCTCAGGTCTGCTTCCTTCACATATCGCGGCTGTCCGCCGCCTAGGTCCTTCACTTCATTTCTGCGTTGTAGTTGCTGTCCCAGGCCTCGGTTCCTGATGCCAGTGTTGCGTTCCGGGCCTTTCCACAGTCTTTTCCCGAACGTCCGTTTCTTGGTGATTTCCGGTGCGACCTTATTCTTGATTTGTCCCATACCCTTGTGTCCTACACAGCGTGTAATCTTTATTCCGGTGGCGGTCACTTCTTTCTGCTGGCATCCGAAGGTTCCCAGGGGAATTTCCTTCTTGAAGGCAATTCTCCAACGTCTTGCCACTGTCGCGCGACGGGATGTCTTCCTGCAGGGGGCAGCCAACTTCATCCGGGGTCCACAGTTTTCCCGTGTCGAGTTCTTTATATTTCGTCGATATCGGTCCCTGCGCCTTTTCTTCTTCGGTTCTCCGACCGGCATTACTTCGGTGTCTTGTATGGGTACCTCTCGTAAGCCCGCCGCCTCAGGTTTCCTGTTCGCTGAGGCCGGCTCTTCTTCTTCTGGACGTGCCTCCGTTTCTTGGTAGGCCATCGTCACTCCGACCGGTATTGCAATGGGAACCTCTTCTTGTTGTGCTGCC